CCATAATCTCGTAACTTTAATGCTGAGATATTAAAAAAAAAGTATAATGATACTGCTATAGATGAAATGGAATTATACCATTTAAATAGGGCATGGTTTTATGAAAATATACTAAGCATGTTAATTTCAATCTTTTTCTCGATATTGAATAATTCTTTTTGCTAAGATCTAGATAGATTTCGATAGACTTGTTCAGTGATGTTGTGTGCCGATTTGTGATGAAGTCTTCCTGGTGTCTAATTCCTGTTTGTAGAATTAATTGAGGATTGCATGTGTACTGAATGAATGAACTGAGGTGAAAACCCTCTTCCCCCTAAAAAAAACAAATAAACAATGCAAATCAGTATCAGACCTTGAAGAGCTAATTAGAAGCAGGTGTGGCGCATAATCTTTTGTTTCATAAGTACAACAGTGTGTTAAAAAACAGGGTGTTAAACATTTTGATACGAAAGGATGAATATACATGTACGGATACAGACCTCTTTAAAGGTGTACACCATTGCACCTTAACTTGAACTTTGTATTTGTACATGTTTGTACCTGTATCTTTCAAATCACATATCCCTTAGAGCAGTAAGTTACCAGCAGGTCACAAACTTACAACAATCTATATTGCAGCCTATTCTCCATTCACGCAATTATAACAAAAGGTGATAAATTTAGTATCTCCACAAATCAGTGTAGTTATGGCCACCAGCCCAAGAGGGCATTATAAGTAAAAAGGTCGGAATACTTATCTATGGTAGAATCAATTAGTTGCGCCTTATTTGCTCTTGGCATACAAACTAAGTTAATTAAGGCATTTTTGCACAATTCTATATTGGCTGTCAGATATATGTACGGGATGTCTTTCTAGGAGGATGACTGTGTTTTCTTGGATGAGACATAAAGTAGCTTTTCAACAGAAGTGACAAATTCCTTCCCACTAGTTACAGCTGGATAAGAATGTGATAAATATAAATCTATATATATGTTATTACCTTTATTGATGCTGAGATGTTTACTTAGGTAATTGGAAATTAAAAGTTTACATTGAGATCGTACATGGCGGATCAATCAACACAGTTGAGCACTTTCAATTTTTTCAAAAAGCAAATTCTGAAATCGAGCATTTAAACCCTTTGCAATGTATCTTAGAGATATACCGTTACTTAAAGTTCAATACTGATTTGATATAAAAGAGCTATAGGCTTTTTGTGCCTTCTCCAAGACAAACAGGCCAAATGAAATATGAAGATAACGAACAGTCATAATGCTCAAAAGTCCATTGGAACAATACAAATTGTGAGCAGAGCAAACGCAGACCTCTAAAAACATCAGAATTGGGATAAGATGCCATGTAAGACTTAGCATCCATGTTGACCGGTCACATCCATTGTGCTCCTTGTCATGATCAGGGAAACGGAAAAAATCCTTAAAAAATTCAGTGTGAAAAAAATTTAAAATATTTTGCTCACAAGGCCATTGCATCGACCGTATTTGCAAAATGTTGACTTAAAACGAGACTGATGATATCCTTGTATCATCAACTTATCTGTCAATAGCTTGCTTCGATTTGGAAATTGTATATTTAACATGCTCTTGCGTATCGAATCAACTGGGAGACATAAACTCCATATGAAGGTGATAATGGTTTTATTGCTACACAAATAAGGAAGTTGGCGATAGAAAACTTGAAGCCATCGCGTTTATTTTAAAGATTACTTGTTACTTTGCCATTAATGGCTTTCTCTAGTACAATATTCAAATATGAAACAGATGTATCAGACTCTGTGCTGTTTTTATTTCAAGTTCAAAGGGATATATCGAATTAACGTGGGAATGAATATGAATATTGTAAATTGATAAAACGTCGTCGATATATCTAAGTAAGTCCTATGCGTCTGCCTTGCTATGCAGGCAGTACAAAAATATCACTTATGTGGATGCAAGAAACGTGCATTTCATAAGCATGTTGGCAAACAAAGGTTTCAGGGTCGTGAATATGAATATTAATTCTCAAAAGACTTCGAATAGCCATTCGTGATATTTGGTTAAAAAGTATGCTTTTTGTATATGGAAACTGTTGTTGTAATTCACTGAAATTCTGTCCTCTTGCACACGCAGTGTTTGCTTCAATATATAGCTAGTGCTTGTGAGATTACCCTCATTTTCGTTCATCAAAATACCCGGTAATTTTCCTTTTTTTCCCGATGCAATCTATAGTTTTATAGTTTTAAATTCAAAAATTTTCAGAATCCCCTAATCTTAAGAAAACTACACTTGTCTGCTATGTATTTTCCTCTACCAAAACTCAAAATATATGCAAAGTTACGAACCATATAACTTTAACGAATACATATATGTTCAACATACGCTTAACTTACGAGCTATCAGCAGTATAATAACCATATGTTTTAAAAAGAATTTCGTAGCTTTTATACAGATATTGAACATATATATCAAATTCACCTGTGTTAAAATAGGTCCGTTAAAATATCCTAAAATAGTCATACATATATGCTTCCCTAACGCGCGTTTATGTTAATATAATTGCTTTTCTTGTTTGTGTTTATTTGTTGTAGACATACGTTTGAAATATGTTGAATATTATTTTTAATTTTACCTGTGAAAAGTATTTACAGGCTAGTGAAACACTGATTAGCTTTAATCCTATTCCTGTGTTAATGATTTTTTTTTTTACATACCGGTGGATAGATAATTTATTATAAAATGATACATATTTTGTATGTGGAGTTTAAAAGATAACCAGCACTCACCAAGTTTTAGCCATTATTTGCTGAACCAAACTAACACTGGAAACTCGGAACATGCCTCCTTATCGAATTTCCTGCAAACGTCTGGATTTAAAGATAGATTATAATCATTTCCTTCAATAACGAAATTATTGCATGAATTGTAATCTAAACGGCTGGGATTTGCTACTGAATATACTCTCAATCTGAAATCAATTTTGTCGGAAAAAGACCATGGTAGTTTTTATTTTATTTGCTTTTAAATTACTTCCCGAAAAGAATAAAAATTTCATTTTCATACAGCTTCACTTGAATTGCAATTGACTATATAGTAAAATATTAAATAATACCATACTGTGAATTATTTACGTCGTGGGTGCTATTAAATACAAAAGTTATCAGGTTACAAATTTTGTGTTTACTTCCACCAAGTTAATGAAAAATTTACCTGTTGATAAGAGTTCCGTATTAAAGTGGGAGTCCAAGTGCATTACACTCTAGTATCGTTTAGCTTTTCGCAGAAATTCTTTCGTTTTTCTGTATCAAAATACTCAATGAAATGTTCGGTCATTTCTTTAGGAAATTACTTTTATTCAGTCAATCTTTCAGTCTTCCTCAGAGGGTTCAGAGAAGGACGTGAGATTAAAAGAAAGCTAGGAATACAGAAATGTGCACTTGCCTTTTTGTCCTGTAAAGGATATTAAATTACGAGAGTTATGTAATATAATTGACAAAGCTTCCAATATCTTAAAATATTCAGTGAATTTTTTTTTAATCAGATTTGTTTTTAATCATTTTCATGGGAGAGGAACAAGTGTTTACTGATCCGTTTGTTCATTTGTAAAATTGAAAAAATGTTTTTATATAAAACTCTTTATATCTGTTAACGTATATATGTACAGTATCTATTTCAAAGAGTACGTACTGTTTAGAATAAAATATAACACTTAAGGTAGGTGAAATGAAAAAAAAAATCTCTCATAAATGTGTTAGGTTTACTTATATTTAACGAGTTTACAGATATACTAGTATATATACCAGCAGGAAGACAAACTTGACCACAAAATTAATAATATAATCATCTGCTTCTGTATAACAAAGAAATGATTTCAAATCTGAAATCTGTTTTTATCGCGTTACAACAAAAGTGTTGACGTACGACAAACCACAATATTGATACATGTCGATTCCTTATGTATAAAATTTTAAATTGTTACGTTGAAAACTAACCGGATGAAGTATCTACAGAGGGACAGACACAGACAACGTGCTTCGGATAGAGCTCCCTCATTTATTATAGCTAATGGAAAGCTTAATATATATTCCGAGGAATTGTTTTGTCCTACAAAATATTCCCTAATTCTTTGCAAATCACAAACTGTTTCAGGCACCCAATCTGCTCCAGTCCCATATCATTGCAATGTATTTCTAATACAGTAACTGCATTTAATTAAGTTCAAAAGCTGAAAAAAAATACTAAAGATTTTAAGGTGAATATAAAATAAATAAAAATCTGTTCTATGTAAAATCGATATTGATCACTCTAATAGAAGCCACAGTTTTACTACACGAGGGAATTTGCCAAGTCTACACTTTATTAGCGATACAATTTTATTACTTACAGTTATAGCTTTTTAGGATTTCATGCACATAGTTGACACTTATCGAAAGCAAACGACCGACAGCTGGCGACAGCAATTTCTGTTTAACCATCGTTGAAGCGATTCTCATATCTTTTCAGGCAGCAAGTTAAAAATTTAAATTAAAAAAAAATCTTTATAATTGAAATAAATCGCGATGCACGAAATTTCTCTGTGAAAATAATCATGTGTTATATCGTCTTCGATCCGACACTTGGAGCCAAGTCGAACGTGTGAAAAAGTTCTAGTTTTAACAAATGCCTTTGAATAACTGCCTGCATTATATTATTTTAAGCTTAACAGTCAAACCATTTATAATTAACCTTGCAATAACCAAATTCTCTACATATATAAACCCATATTCACCGTTTTATAATCTTTTTATTAAATAAATCTTTGATTACATTTTCTGATATTTCCTGTCTAATATCAAAATGATATTACAGTTACTGAATCATGCCATACTCACTTTCATAAAAATATCGCAATCCCGTTAATCTAGGGAGAACGGTCATCTGACGATCAAACAATGTGTTTGACTTTTTTGGAAAACAATTTAATGGATCTTTTACCATAGAAACGATATTTTCGATCTCGATAAAAAGTTTAATGAACGAAGACCAAATAACTGATAAAATCTTTAATAAAAGATACATGCTTGAACGCTTGAACTACACTATCAGATGAAGGGAGTTCAATATACTTTGTCTTAGTTTCCTCCTTGCATAATGCCACAATGAGCACCAATTCAAATCAAGAACACTAATTAGTGTTTGACTATGAGTCCACGTAAGGCAGAAATATTTCTTCCAGTAAAATCAACATTGATTTCTCACACCGATTGAGCGTCTTGGGCAGTAGTTTCTTTAGCGGCCACTATCTTGTAAGAGGCTTGTTTACGATTATCTTGATTCTTAAAAGGACAGTGAGGCAAAAGAATCATAAAATTTTGACGGAAAGTTCTGCTGAACACACAGTATATAAGAAAGTTGACCGCAGCATTTATCGTCAGAAGAGTGTCTGAAAACTCACGAATTCCCTTTTCCAGATAGGTTCCCTCATGGTAACCTAAACCAACCACGGACATAATGGCGTCCGGAAGAATACAAATTACAAACACCATAATGATCACGATCATCATTAATGTAATCCTGTTCCTTTGGGTGTTTTTCTTATTAGCTCGCACTTTCCGAAGGGAAAAAATAATACAAGCATTGAGTATAATGAGAATGATCAAAACAATGTTACTTCTTAGAAAGTTCAGTGACCATGTGTAATACGTCTTGAAATCTTCGTTTCTCCATAATTCCGTAACATTTAAATCTAACTCTGTATCATTGTTTATAATATTGACAGTTTTTTCATATCGAAATGCACAGGGAAAGGATATAGAAACCATCACCAAATAGATAACACAGCTAATAACAATGGCCCGTAATCGCGTGCACAAAGTTTTTGCTTTTATTGGATAACAGACGAGTATAAATCTTTCAGTTGCAACGGAGACTGTCAACCAAGAGGAGACGCAAGTAGAAATATTAAAAATAAAATGAGCAAATGGATAAATATTGACATATGCGATTCTGCCGGCTGCTGGGTTTGTCCTTTTCAAAACTAAAACTATGAAGTAGATCAGGTCGTTGATAAGTTTAATAGAATCTGAAATGGCCAGGGCGGCTAGGAAAGCATTTGTAGACGTCTTCATGTTTTTCATGGACAGCACAATTAGAGACAGTGCATTTCCGACAAGCCCAGGTATACATATCACAGGATAGAGTATCATTCCACAGATTAATTGCGAAGTCTCGTAAAAATCCTTATACTCTTCTTCGTTTGTAATATTTGTTGAATTCTGCATTTTATTGGTCTGGAAAAACTTTCCTACCTTTTTTTTTCTTGACTTGTGATGTATTTGAAACAAAACTAAAAGTAACTAAAGTCAATCGTTGGCTTGCCTAGAAATCTCAAATGCCTAGATGAGGTTCAGTACGTTCCTGCTTACATGACGTTTCAGTTTTTATTTCCCCTTGAAAATGACACTTTTCTGTAATGCACCATAGGAGGAACTTATACCAGCACCCTGAAAAATAGAAAAGAACTTGTCAATCAAGATTGGCATGGAATGGCTACTGGTTAATTGGGTGCTTACAGTAAATGAAACGATTATTTTGACAAAAAACATCAAAATTCCATTTTCCAGACCCAAAACACAACAGGGAATTCATTTAAACGGCGCTTCATAGGTTCGTGTACCGTTTATCTATTACCCTTGAGGATATTTTTGATATGATAAAAGATTGATATTGTAACAATAAAAGCCTATTACAATATGCTTTCAGAAAATGTACAACACTGCAAGATATTCAGAGCTGAAGGAAATCGAAAGCCGGAAAACGTACCCAAGAGATGACCACAGAGAAAGCCTGATATCGATCGAAGCAAGTCTGCTTTAAAACACCGGTAACTTTACTTTCAATTTTGGAAACATTACTTTTGATAACAGTGTTTTATGATTTTGTAAGGGAACGTATAATCGATAAACGGTCAAATGAACAAATCATAGCCTGCCAAGTAGAGAGTCTTTTTTTTTTTAATTCTGCGTGTCTAATTCTCATTTATGTAACAGATACACGTCTAAGTTCATGATTTATTTTTTCCTGTCTAAAAGAGCACTTTTTTGGCTTTGTTAATTATCATATAAAAAGCACATTCAAAGGCTATAAAATTATCAACACAAGAACAAAGGAACGAGGATGAGAATTTCCAATATCTAGAGGAAACATTTCTATATATCACCCACGAAAAGATTCAAAGAAACTGGTGCTGAAAAATAGCGTGAAAATTCAAGCAGTCGAGAAACAAACTATTATTCAATCACTCACAAAGATAAAAGTTGTGTTTGTTGAATTGTAGTAAATTAGATGATGTGCCAAAAAGTATTCAAGGAAAAAATCCCCAGAAATTCCAACCTGTATAAAAATACTTTCAAATTTATTGAATTAATCTTTTTAACCCGAAGACGTTTTGATTATATATATATATATATATATATATATATATATATATATATATATATATATATATATATATATATATATATATATATATTCTTCCGTGAAGCGTATCAAGCTGTTAACTGCATCTGTTCTGAAGATCATGTAAATTTTACGATTGGTTTCTACTTGAACAGTGAATAGCATTAAAAATGCCATGCCTGAGAAACGTAATATTTCATGACACCTCATGTGCTGCGTTCGATAGACACGAAAGAAGGCGACAGCTCCGAGACTGATATTCCACTTGCTGATATCGAGTCTTCAGGAAATTCAATTACAGGCACGGAAATCATTATTTGTAACAAATTAAACCAATATGTTGCAGGCAAGTGTCCCCTTCGTAACATGCAGAGTCATTAACAATCTTCATATTTTGGGAAAAGAAACATAAAACCTGTCGTGTTTCATCTCTTATTTTGGTGGTAATATGGCCATGTCCTTGAAAACCTGCAATACTATGGCAGAAATATTGCATTTCTCCCGGGGCCGCTTTTGTCGGAGATGACATTGTCCTCAACTGGTTGAGTAAACATCATGTTGAAATCACCTGTCTTTTAAAAAATACTTTCAGAGACACTCTCTGCGTTCAAATAAATGATCGCTGGAACTTAAACTATACTAGTGGTTTGCAGGTCTAAATATGTGCAAATGAATCTCTACTGAGACGTGTAAAAGTACTAATTGTTGTTGTCTGTAGTTAGTAACTATTCCATGCGCGGATCTAGAGGGGGATCGGGGAGTGAGGGTCCTGGCCCCCCCTCTGGAATTTGCAGAGTTATTAAAAGTATATACTGAAGCTATTAAAAAATGACTTTGCCCCCCCCCCCCCCGAAAATTTGGACCCCACCATAACCACCACGAAATATGTGTTATGGATTTCACGGTTTTGTTGTTGTTGTTTTTTTGTTTTTGTTTTTGTTTTTTTTTTTTTTTTGCTTGTCAAAAAATTTTGGGTTGGAAATTCTTTTTCATTGGGGTGGACCCCCCCCCCTCTTCCTGGAAAAAATCCCTAGATCCGCGCCTGCATTCTCTGTCGTAGTTGTGATTTTCCTTTAATATGACAAGCGCCGTTTTTCCTTTGTATGACTTATTGCGTCTGTGTATATGATAAATTTCCTTCGATACTTTTATAAAATTAACAGACCTATCTTTCATTTTCGATAAGATTTACCATTTTTCAGAACGTTCACTATGTAACATTAATACTTTTTTGAAAGTTCTTCCAGATGAGTTCGATTTTTTTGTAAATTACAAAATAAACAATAAGGTCGGTAAGGTCTGTATGCAAAGAATTATTACATATGAAGTAGCTTCAAAAAACTTAGAATGTTATACAGTCCAATTCCGTAACTAGGCTCAAACTTTTAGTGAGGCAAGGGATTTGGGGTCACTCGGGTCCAGGGTAATGTCCTGAAGGGGTTTCTCAGGGGTTTTTCGAAACCTGGGTTTTAGTAAATTAAAATCTTAATTTTTGAAAGTTTTTCAAATTTTGAATCATTTTTACATCCGTTCTAAATGATAATGAAGCACCTGATGAAATGATCAATTTACTGGAATTGAAACAAAAGTTGAAAGTATTTATCCATTACAGAGATTAATTAAAGTTCAAAGTAAAACTTTCTCACTTTTCAGAAAACTATAAAATTTTAATGAAGCATTTGCCTCACTTGCCTCAATATGGTAGTTACGACTTGTACACATGCACAATACCTTGTTTGTTTATTTCGTGCTACATAATGACTGTTAAAAAAGATCAAATAAAAATTTTATAAAACAAAGCAATTTTTTAAATTGAATTTTAAAAAATTGTGTTAGAACGCAAAATAAGATTCGATTCAAAATAAGAAACACTCTGAGTGTCAACAACTCGACATAAATGGTTCACAATCCAATTTGATTGAATGTCCCGGATTTTTTTTTATTTAAAGAAAGCCATTGCACGTACTGTTCCTTCGTACACAGGGGCATCATTAGCTATCATAAACTATATATACATCGTCCATCAAATAATAAAACTTACCCGTAAAATAGACTAGGCATTCCGAGTTATCCGTGCTAACAATGATCCTCTCTATAGAATCACTGATTTCGAGTAAAATCATATCTGCAGCAGCAGTGCTAATATTCAATTTGATATCTAGTGTTGAACATCGCGGGGTGTAGGGAGGCATCTATTGATTTTTCCCTGGTGTATGATGATTAACATATTTTGTTGATGTAATATACAGGTTAAAGTTTAAATCCTTGAAAATGAAATATAATCTTGCAAAAAGTCAATCCTTTCTCTTTTCTAAATATTTTAAATGAAAACAGATAAAAGGTACAATACACGAAATAGAATGTCTTCAAAAATTATGATTCCAGAACTCTCTATCGCTGGAAGTAACTGAGTCAGATAAATATGAAAAAAACCCTAATATACAAAAAGGCCATTTATAATTAACCTTTGGAAACAAATGACATTCACTATCTCTGATGACTAACGAACCATTTCATCAAAGGAAAAATTTATATATCCCTTCACAAAGTTCATTATTTTAGATAGTCTAGCTGATGTAATAAAAGGACAGGCCTCTTTTCTTCATCATACCCATCGATCTAGTTTGCCAGGCCTCAAGGAGATTGCCAACCTTTAATTATTTTTTTTTATCTCGATCATCTCCAATTTACCTTCTAAGTAAATACAGAGCAAGCTAACCTCTAGGTATATGTACAGTTGTCAGTCTCGATTACTGGTGGATGGGTGTGAACATCACTTAGACAGACCTGGCCTCGTCTTCTTTTTATCTTAAACAAGTTTCTGGATATGCCAACTTTGTTACAAATAACGAATATTTTCGATTTGATGATTTTTTAAAGTATAAGCTGTTTTAGACGAAGTTCAAAAATGTTGATTTTACGTTTGAAGCATTGATTTCCATTTTTCGTGGGCGGCAGTTCAAAATCTGAATTTTCAACAACAACAACAAAAAATTAGATCGTCTTTGTTCTGCAAGAAAGGGGTTTTTGTTACATCTGATACTTTTACACAAGCATATTGTTTATCGATCTACTGTTATATTATCTGATTTCATTTAAAGGATGTTAGTCCTTTTCCTTTAGAAAAGAATTTCCTCGATCCATACATGTGTACAGGACGGATTCTCTTTATTGTAAACAATGTTTATTTGTGCAAGCGCACAATACTGCCCCATTAAACAATGATTCAGTTATTAAAGGAAAGCATCGAATAGGGTTTAAATTAGAGCTTGTTATACTCCAGGACGTATTCTAAGGTATTCTGTTTTCAATGTTTTGTTTTGATTGAGTTCATTGGTTGTTAATTAAAACAAACTTGATGAACGTAAACAACACAGACAAGCGTTCCTAAAGCAGATTCGTTTTCATGATCAAATAAAAATTAGATTCATCAGAGTCGGTAGAAAATGAAAATATGTTTGTATGAATATAATTTTATAAACCTCTTTTACACATTATGCGAATCCTTTCTAGCTTGTGAGTGCCTTCACACAACAGAAAATCTTACTTTTTTAGGCTTCTGTAAATATAAACCACTCTTATAAGTAGCGATCACACCGAAGTATTTTAATATCTCTTAATATTTTGCAAATATTGTACAAGTTCCTTGAACTTTTTGAAAGACATTTCGTAAGAAGAATTATCGTAATCTTATGACTGAATAGAAACATCAGTTTCAAGCCACTTGACTTGCACCCCTGAATTAGGTAAGATACAAGACTATGACCGGGATATCATTTCATTCATTTGTGCAAAAGTCTGAAGGAAAGTAAAACAATAGAATAATAGAAAGAATGCAAGCAACATTCTAAATAAATCATGTCGCATTTGATTACATATTGTACAATAAAAACCGAATCAGTGTAAAATTTTGATTTGTGAATCTACGCTGCACATTAATACGAAAAGTTAAATATTCCTAAAATTTTGATTGTTTTCAGAATAAAAAGATAAATAATAAAAATTCATAGTGAGATGAGCGGTGCATCTGTAAATATATTCGTATGTATATAACTGGTTGGAGCACTTTTATGAATCATCCGACTTCAAACGGGCAAGTAACCGTCCATGCATCACTATAAACCATTGAACTAAATTTTTATGATTATAAAAGTCAAATCTCATCAAAACTGAACAGGAAATGCTCTGTTTGAAAATTTAATGAGGATAAAATTGATAATAAAATTGATTTAAAAAAAAACAAACAAGAGAATAATAGAAGGGAATCAATGTAGGCCATAAAATACGCCGTATACAGATTAAATTTGCACTATACACATAATTATGTTAATAATAAAACATAAAATCAAAGTACAGAATGTATTCCTGGGAGTTGAGCTTTTCAATCATTTGAAGGAGAAAAAATTAAATTATCGAAATAATTCCATTGTTGTTTTTAGTCCTCTATCGGTAAAGATCGGTTAAACTGGAGTAGACTATAGGTTTCCTCCTCCTTTGTCTAGCTGTCTGTCTGTCTGTCCCAACTGGTTTTTCCATTCCTTTTTTTCAAAACGCTTGCAGATATTGAGCTTGTTTTTTTTAGGTGAATGTTCAAGTTTGCATTTCGTTTCGCTTTGGTGATTTTTGACAGAAATGGCCTTTTTAATTATTAAGGAGACAAAATTTCCAACTTGGTTTTCCACACTTTTTTCCTAATTGCTTGCAGATATTGGCCTGTTTTTTGATATGTGAGTCTACTTTGATAAGCACAAGCACTTGTTTCGTTAATATTTTTTAAACCCATAGTAAAATAATAACACAAGGTATCCAGCTCCGAATTACATGGAGTACCCCCCTCTCTAGAATCGCACTCATTTACACTTTTAGAGGAAATGCACTGGCAAACAGTGTATTACCATTGTCTTCTACGATAATGTACACAACCATATATGGCATGCTTGTCTTTATTTTCATTTATTCCCGTAAAGAGTGTCAATACACCAAAGATCAGAACATGAGAAGACAACAGGAGTCAACACAACTATACACAAAAGATCTGAATATGAGAAGACAACGGGTGTCAACACAACTATACACCAAAGATCAGAACATGAGAAGACAGCGGGAGTCAAGACAGCTATACACCATAGATCAGAACATGAGAAGACAACGGGAGTCAACACAACTATACACCAAAGATCAGAACATGAGAAGACAACGGGAGTAAACACAGCTATACACAAAAGATCTGAATATGAGAAGACAACGGGTGTCAACACAACTATACATCAAAGATCAGAACATGAGAAGACAACGGGAGTCAAGACAGCTATACACCAATGATCAGAACATGAGAAGACAGCGGGAGTCAAGACAGCTATACACCAAAGATCTGAACATGAGAAGACAACGGGAGTCAACACAACTATACACCAAAGATCAGAACATGAGAAGACAACGGGAGTCAGCACAGCTATACACCAAAGATCAGAACATGAGAAGACAACGGGAGTCAACACAACTATACATCAAAGATCAGAACATGAGAAGACAACGGGAGTCAACACAGCTAAACACCAAAGATCAGAACATGAGAAGACAATGGTAGTCAAAGCTGTACACCAAAGATCAGAACATGAGAAGAAAACGGGAGTCAACACAGCTATACACCAAAGATCAGAACATGAGAAGACAACGGAAGTCAACAGAGCTATACACCAAAGATCAGAACATGAGAAGACAACGGGAGTCAGCATAGCTATACACCAAAGATCAGAGCATGAGAAGACAACGGGAGTCAACACAGCTAAACACCAAAGATCAGAACATGAGAAGACAACGGGAGTCAAGACAGCTATACACCAAAGATCAGAACATGAGAAGACAACGGAAGTCAACACAACTATACACCAAAGATCAGAACATGAGAAGACAACGGGAGTCAAGACAGCTATACACCAAAGATCTGAACATGAGAAGACAACGGGAGTAAACACAACTATACACCAAAGATCAGAACATGAGAAGACAACGGGAGTCAACACAGCTATACACCAAAGATCAGAACATGAGAAGACAACGGGAGTCAACACAACTATACATCAAAGATCAGAACATGAGAAGACAACGGGAGTCAACACAGCTAAACACCAATGATCAGAACATGAGAAAACAGCGGGAGTCAACACAGCTAAACACCAAAGATCAGAACATGAGAAGACAGCAGGAGTCAAGACAGCTATACACCAAAGATCAGAACATGAGAAGACAACGGGAGTCAACAGAGCTATACACCAAAGATCAGAACATGAGAAGACAACGGAAGTCAACACAACTATACATCAAAGATCAGAACATGAGAAGACAACGGGAGTCAACAGAGCTATACACCAAAGATCAGAACATGAGAAAACAGCGGGAGTCAACACAGCTAAACACCAAAGATCAGAACATGAGAAGACAACGGGAGTAAACACAACTATACACCAAAGATCAGAACATGAGAAGACAACGGGAGTCAACACAGCTATACACCAAAGATCAGAACATGAGAAAACAGCGGGAGTCAACACAGCTAAACACCAAAGATCAGAACATGAGAAGACAGCAGGAGTCAACACAGCTATACACCAAAGATCAGAACATGAGAAGACAACGGGAGTCAACACAGCTAAACACCAAAGATCAGAACATGAGAAGACAACGGGAGTAAACACAACTATACATCAAAGATCAGAACATGAGAAGACAACGGGAGTAAACACAACTATACACCAAAGATCAGAACATGAGAAGACAACGGGAGTCAACACAGCTATACACCAAAGATCAGAACATGAGAAGACAACGGGAGTCAACACAGCTAAACACCAAAGATCAGAACATGAGAAGACAGCAGGAGTCAACACAGCTATACATCAAAGATCTGAACATGAGAAGACAACGGGAGTCAACACAGCTATACACCAAAGATCAGAACATGAGAAGACAACGGAAGTCAACACAGCTATACACCAAAGATCAGAACATGAGAAGACAACGGGAGTCGCACAGCTAATCACCAAAGATCAGAACATGAGAAGACAACGGGAGTCAACACAGCTATACACTAAAGACCAGAACATGAGAAGACAACAGGATCGGATAGAAGAGCAAGACTCCGGCATCAGAAGATTTCGCTTTCAAAT